ACATTCCTCCCTTTACGCCCCGCGCCCGCAACTTGGCGTACCCATCTCATTCTCATCACCCCCTACGTACCCTGTGCGTCTGATCTTCACATTTTCTTCTTCTTTTTATTCTGCTTCATACTATGACTTCATTTGCGTAAATTCATAATCTTATAAGTTAAAAGTCAACATCTTATCAGTAAAATAAATCAACTCTGCTGGCCTGTTAATTTTTAACGTGATAGCGGTCTCCTTGGTTGCGTAAAATATTATATCCTGATCTTTTTTTCATCCAAAAGAGGGCAATTTACGTTTTGACACGGGAGTGTCAGGTAGAACTCCCCAAAGAGTGGGGAGTCTCCCAATTACTGTTTCATTTTCAACCTTCAACCTCATCCCACGGTCAAGACGGCACAGGTTTGCACTGGGAATGAGCATCACGATGGCCATCACCATGTGGATAATCCAACTCAGCAGTCTTCCGACCGTTTCTTTAGTAATAAAATTCCCATATGACTATACTTATCTCAAAATGATTTTAACTCCTCCAGAAACAAGAAAGCTTAATGAGCAAATTATGAACGAGTTTGCGAGTTAGGTACTTAAGGAATATAATTAGCCCAGCCAGGCAACCAATGATTTTATTTCTGTTTTAAAAAAGTCGGTTAAACTAAACAAACAGGGCCATGGTTCATGAAAGAATCAAATACACAGAAAAGACATTGGAGAAAGTTTCAGGTCCGCGTCCTAGATATATCCCGTATAAACTATAAGCGGTCACAAATTTTCGGCCCCAAAAAAACGCAGTCACATGTTTTGGATGGATGTTCTGTTTAAAATGTTAAAATTACGAAAGCAACAGGAGTTAATCTCTAACGATTTCCTTTTTGTTTCTTTTTATCTTAAGAGAATAACAGGAAAAAAGTTAAAAATTACTAAATTTCAAATTAAATTTGATTATAACATTTTATTTGGTGTTGACAACACTGAATTTACAAATAACAAAAAAATTTGTTGATATTTCTAATTTAGTATTTATAAATTTCCAAATTTTTTTTGTTATTTTTGCTCTTTTTTTTTCCTTTTGTTTTTCGGGGGTTGGGGAGTCTGTCTCACTGGTGGGCGTCACATTCATAAGCGAAGGTCAATTTTTACAGCCGAAAACTTCAACAGCAGAACAGTCAAAATAGTAGAAATCCAGAAAAAGAGCCTGCTCGTGGCCAAAAAAAAAAAAGGGAAGAGAGCCCAGCTGCCAACCACAACAACAATAATAATAAGGGGAAAAGAAATAAAGAAATCCACAAGAGAGTGGAATCTCGCCAGTATTGTTTCATCCGGCCTTCAACCTTACCACGTCAGCACAAAAGCGGGTCTGCATTGAAAACGCAACCCAGAACATCCTGGATGGGACCAAATAAGATCGATTAAAAAATAATTTGACTAGAAAAAGTCTTATTAATAAATATATTTTTTGAAAAGATATTTATTTATTTGAAATAATTAACTTAATTAATTTTTTTAAATTAATTATCCGGTAAGAAGACATTAGACTGGCCACCAGCAAATATACATATGACTTAATGTGGCGATGCTATTATTGGATACCGACACAGCGAAAGTAGTCAGAGATTCGTGGCTCAAATGAGATCTTGTAGCTCAGTGTGAATTGTTTATAATCCGGGGATTTTGTATTTCACCACAAAAAAAAACACAGGAGAGGATATTCCATTATATATTCGATGTGGGCTCTCCTGGAAATTGCCGGGCGAACTCAACATGGCTGACGGCGCCTTCCTAGTCAATATTTCTACTTTTTTCCTACTGTGTTGGTCCAACCTGGCCCATGGTGGCTTCCTAGTTTCATCTTCGCCCTCCATTATTCATTTTAATATCTTCTTCTTCTTGTTTTTTTTTTTAAATTGTTCATCCCAAAGAATGCATCATTTTTCACGTTCCTTTTTGGTTTAACCATTTTTAACTAATTAGTTTATAAAATTGCTGATTGGTGGGCTGCTGATGAAGTTACCCAGGAACTTAACAAATGTCCCTTCCTTTTCCTTTCTGACGTGTTGTGTTTTAAATACACACCCACCTTCATTTTCCACATCTTCGTTATCCAACTTGTTAACGCTAGCATGATAAATTGTTAGTGTTACACGAAAACGCAACATGACAAAGTTATCAATCAATCAAACAGATACTATATGTTTTTTCACAGTGCGCGGGCCCAGCATGACGAGCTTAAATGAATTTCAATTTACAATTGATGTATGTTTATAAAATTAATATACTCTTTTTTTGTAATGTAAATTATATTATAAAAAGAGTTTTATATTTAGGATGAGAGGAATACCATAGTTATAAATAGTCAACATAATTATAGTCTTTCAAACAATTAATTGTATATAACTTTTTTTACTAACATTTTATACATATTAAATGAGAACGAGATATGTTCAATTTTCAATCATTGTTTGTGTGTCTATAAATACTGAAATACAATACATATTTGTGTATGTTAAAAATAAAATTAATATACTCTCAGTCTCAGCCAAGAAGTCCCAAACAGAAAACAAAGTCTCATGATTCATTCTGGAAAAGTAGACGGATTCGTTCATTCGGCCTTTGACGGTCTATGGAGCTCGAGCGTTTTAATTTATCTCAATCTGTTTTTAAAAAGAATAAAAAGCTATTTTCTTAATTTATATTTTAGACAACTAAGAACTAACCCAGTCAAAGATGATCACAAGTGGTGGATGTCAAATTAAGCAACATGTTTATATTTAGACCTCTAGAGATTACTTGCCATATTGTTATTAAGGGGGTGTTTGGATAGAAACCAAACCATAATTTCAGAAGTGTTTTTATAATTTACGAAATAAATATGTAGAGAAGTTTGTCTCGTTTTGCAGAAAAGTACTTTTGAAATCATAGTTTGGAGATCTTAATAGCCTCGATTTTGCATTAACGATGATGTCACCCACTTGTACAACTAAAATAATGACGATTGGGGTATATTAATATTTTATGTTACAAATCCGCCGCAACTCTGCATTATTTTATAATTCACAAACCTAATCATGGTCTGTATTCATTCATCTGGATGACTGAATCCAATGGCGAAGCTGATAGATTGGGCCTGATATTTTGGACAGACTATGTGGATCTGTATTTGGGCTTTTAACGGAAATGGGCCTAATATTTCTGGCCTGTTTCATAATAACCAGGCCCATATATGGAAATCTGTCCGCTTTTCCGGCTATCGGGATGCCACGCACGCCAGAAGCGTGGCAGAACCTGGGATCATTTTTCATTAAAAAAGTAAAATAAAACTGGGTTATGTTCGAGGAGGCTCTGAAGTGTCGATTTCTGAAACGCAAAATTAGTGGTAAAAAAAAAATGATATGATGTGAAGTGAAATTTATGAAATGCAGATGTGTAGATATATGTTTTGTTTTTGCTTTGAGGACGAATAAATGTGGAGTTGTTGGATGAGGGTGGGATAGGGACGATGGAAGGCAAGAACCACACCTTGAGGAATCCATCGTTTTCTGCGTCAGCGGAAGGCATACGGAGGCGGGAGGGAATCCAAAGTCCGTCCAAAATAGAGAATTAGAGATGGAGCGCTGGTGAATGAAATGGATGAGGATAACACATAAATTGTGGTGTAATTAGAGAGATCAATTTATAGACGGCTTTAGAACCTGATATTTTCCCATGTCAGGAGCTTCAATGTTGGGGTCTTCCTGTGCCACATAGTCAGCACGTCCAGTAATTTCCCTGCAAGTGTGGTGCATCTCCACATTCCAATAATCTATCAAGGAGCATCATGTCCCTGGCTGATATCCATAATGACCAACCTGTCTATGCCGATGATCTGGCTCATAATCCCCTCATCAGTTCGGCTTCAGTAACTGAACACAACCCAACTTCTTTATGGGATCTCGTAAGCCATTCGCTGTTAGGATCTGTGGCTACTCCCCCACATGCCGTTTGGTGATGTTCCCAAACTGATCCATTCATATCAACACGTTTGTTAAATGTGCAATCCATCAGGTTTTAACAAGTCAAACTCTGTGTTAAGCTTTTGTCGAACGTTGCAGATAACAGTATATTACTGCACACCCTTTTGCTTTTTGCAACTTTGCTATTCCCCAACGCGTTGCACGCGGAGCCACTCCAAACCTCTTTCCCCTCATCTCCATTTGTTTAAGAAGGTCCAAACACTCATTATCTCTACGTGACCGTCCTCCTCCCTTTATTTTTGGGAGATAACTTTTTTGCCCCCCCAAATATTTAAAAGGCAAACAAGCGTGGAGAAACGGGACAGCCACACAGTGTGAAAGCAGGAGAACAGGGATGCGATTATTGTGCAGGTGGGGACGCTCAAGCATGTGCAGAATCTGCCATAACCACCCATGTTTTTCACGTTGCGCTTGTCCTCACATTGATCAATGCCTTTAATTGCTTTTATTATGTGGCCACGCGTTGAATAAAAAATAAGTGAATTTTCTTCTCTATCCATACCTAAAACAAAAATATTTTTTTTTTTAACTTAAACATCAAAACTTCACAATCTCTTCAAATCTATTTTCTGAAAGTTGGATCGCACCAAAAAAAAACAGTTTTTTAAGTTGAAGGTTTAAATCTTAAGAGTAAACAAAATTATGCTGGTTAAATTAAACAAGTAAATGATAATTTATTCATCATTCATTTTTTTATAAAAACGTTTGGAGTTAATATTTGTATAGTAAAAATCTCTATGCTCTGCTTTGGAACCACCCAACTTTGTGAGGTGGACAGTGTCCATGGTTTCGGCTCACATTCAGGCCCCAATAATCCGTCCCATCTCATTACGGTGTCTTCTTTTGCCCTGACATGTCATTTTCAGGATCTGGGACTCTCTATTCTTACTTCTTTAAACCCATCTAATGCTACTAATCAGCACTACTATGATGTATTAATTAGATATTATAAAGACTCACGAGGTCAATTCACCTCTGTCCATATAAGCAGCTCCACCTCACTCCTTGCTTCATCAGTCTTCTTGCTTCTCTTCTTCTCGACCGCCTTCCTTCTTCCTCCTGTGATTTCTAAGCCACTCTGCAATGGATAACGTTCTGGGTCTTCTCAAACTTCGTATCAAAAGAGGTATTTCTCTCGCGATTCGTGATACTCGTAGCAGTGATCCTTATGTCGTTGCCACCTTGGGCGACCAGGTCAGTAGAACCCTCCTGCTCTTTGCGTGGTTTTGAATCAATCTATCTTACCTCTGTGGCTGCCTCCTCATGAAATGGCTTGTTGTGGCCAATAATAATATTCAATTTCTCCGAGAATTTGGAGAGTTTCGTTCTCTTTCTAGTTTTCCCAACTTTCCCTTTTGAAATGTTTAGGTTTTTAAATTTTAATAATTTCTGTTTTTGTTCCGTAAGTTCTCTCTGTTTCATAAATGCTGGTCTGTACTGCATTCGTGGGGTGGAAAACACCCTTTTGGGCGTTCATCGTTTGAGATTATACGATGTTCACCTGCCCTGTAATCAAGTAGGAGTTAGGAGTTGGGAGTTCAGTCTTTTCAATCTTCATTTCTCACAATTAAACGGAAGCTTTTCCCACTTTAAGCCCAAAAGATTTATGTAACTTTGCCTGATAAAGTTAAATATTTTCATTAGTGATTGTTATTGTATTAAATCATCTTCTATTTAGTATACACTCCTGGAACTGATGTCATATTTAAGGCACATCATATATTTGGAAAATTCAAAGTTGAAGCCTGATGTGTAAAAGATATCTGGATATGTGTAGCTGTTTCTTTTGGCAAAACGCATGTGGCTGTTAACTGCCCATAATATTAGTTAATTGTGTTGAACAATGAGAATGACTTCATCGTAATTACTACAATTGATAACTGCCCACTAAGTCATTGATTACAAAATAAATAATTAATTAAGATAAACTGAATAATAAAATGAAAATTAAAATAACAGAAAGTCCTAGATATCTGCATCAACAGTTTTGCAGCTTGACAAAATAGCAAGTAGGAAGCCTTCGTTTTGGAGCCCTGCACTGCCATTTGAACTATTCTTAATTTAGTACAAAGGAAGTTCATGGCCGATCTGGATTCTTCATGTAAAAGCTCTTGCATTTTTAGTCTATTTTGAAGGATGGAGTGGATTACGGATACCTTCTTTTGATAATCCTACTATGACCTGTTCTATGCCTCTTCTTTTAGATGTAAATTATCATCATATTCTTAAATCTTAATGACTGATTGTTTGAAAGGTTATCACCACGCTTTGAACTCGAGAAGTTTGGATTTCTTGATGCTGCTTGAGTATCGTTGATTCCACATTTTGTTGCTGTGCCTTGCTTGATTTGAAGTTTATTTGTTGGAACAGAAAGTGAAGACTCGTGTCGTGAAGAATAACCGCAACCCTCAGTGGGATGATGAATTGACACTCTCTGTTAAGGATGTCAACTCTCCAGTTCATCTTGTAAGTACTAAACCAAACTGCCTCATACCATCAGTGATATTGCTGTTTGCAGATTCACATCCTTATTAGGTGAAGCAGTCATTAGTGGGACAAGGAGGAATTGCTTTTTAAGTTCTTCGAGTGTTTATGCCATCAGGTTCTCTGATAAAATAATTATCACATGTTGAGGTGCTTTCCTCAAGAAGTCAATAATATGGTGCTGCTGCTGAATTTTCTTTTGCAGATATTTGATAGCAGACACCTAAAGAATTTAATCTAAGTCTAGGTCCTATCCTCATGCTCACTTGTTGATGGTGGCTATGAAATTTGCTTGACCCTTGCAGGCAGTTTTCGACCATGACACATTCACCGGGGATGACACAATGGGGGATGCAGAAATAGACATAAAGCCATATCTTCAGTGTCTGAAGATGAACTTGACCAACCTGCCGAGTGGTTGTATAGTGAAGAGAGTTCAACCAGATGGGAAAAACTACCTTGCTGAGGAGAGCAGCTGCATATGGAAGAATGGAAAAATCACCCAAGAAATGACTCTTGCTTTGAGAAACGTGGAATGTGGCTACGTAGTTGTCGAAATTGAGTGGAAGGAAATTCCAGGTTGCAAGGGCTTATCTGGGATTGAGATCTAAGTCTTCTGCACAATGTTTAATGAGGATTAGAGCTAGACTCTCCTCATGTGTCATGAAGGGTTGTATTTGGTAGGATATTTCTATCATGAATCCACGGTGTTACCCGTGTGATGGTGAGTGTATTCGTATTATCAATAATCTGAGACTGCTTAGTTTATATTCGGCAGAGTTGAAGCAGAACCATTTAGTGTCATGTAGAAATGTGGAATCAGTATCAGTTAACATAATGATCTGTGCTAGTAACCAAGCGATGTGATTATTGTTCCTTTTTTCCCCCTATGTATAGGTATCTTCTTATTGGAGATAATCCTATTTGAGACATTGTTGGGCACTAAATATGATTGTCCATTGTGAATATGCTTAGTCCAACATACTGGGTATAGGTTTAAGCCTACAGTTTTGCTCAAGCCCATCTTATTAGGCCTATGCACTTAAAGGCTCGGCCTAAGGTTTGTCCATCGGCACGGTTGATTACTTGACTGTTGATATGGGCCTAAACCAACATAGGTTGAAGTCTGACCCAGCCCATGACGAGATGCAGTTGGTTTATTTGTGTGTCAGAAGAGGTGTTTGGAAAGTCACAAAAAAAAAATTTAAAAAGTATTTTCATGTAAATCAAAATAATTATATATATATTTATTTCGTATATCGTAAAATTATTATTAAAATCATAATTTGGTTTTTACTTAGAAACAAGCAACATTGATCCAACTTAAGTTTTGAGATTGAGGAGGAACCGCGGGGTATTCAAAACATTTTTCCTCGCAAACTGTATTTTCCCCCAACCCGCGTGATTCATGTTGAGAAGTTCAAATCATACTATTGGCCAGTGAGTATTTTATAATATCTAGCCAGGATCTCCGCAAAATTCTGATCTCATCTTATCGTAGAGACAGATACAGGATGATTGAAGGGGAGGATGTGATACCTCGACACCTTCAACGATTTGATCCATTTATCTGTAGATGTCATGCATTGTAAGCGGGAAAAATGAGTTATTATTACTATAATATAATATAGATATAGATATAGTAATCCGTTATTATGTCACACTGTCACATATTACATTAATAATATAATAACTTCAAACCAGTTTTACTTTTTATACTATAATAGTAATTAACGATACATAAAAATAAATGAAAATACATTTTCTTATTATAGGATTTTGAAATTCAAATGACTTTTTTAGTTTTTCCTTATAAAAAATATTATTGTAACATAGGCATCAAAATCCGTACGACTTAAAGCAAGGGTATGAATTCAAAAGAAAAATGGAAACAAGCTTTTATTGAAAAAAAGGGTGTTAATGGATAGGTACTTAATGAATGGTTCAAACAAAAAAAAATGAAAATGAAAAAAGTAAGGGTAGAAATACACAGGACTTTTAATGAATAATTCAAATCCGGCTCATCAAATAATTCGAATCAAACAATTCAAAATCATTTTGTTGCGCAAGTGGTTAAGCTTGTGATTATTTTAACTTGTATATAAGGAGCCGCTACCTTCTATCTAATCTAAACATATTGTATTCACGTTGGCCTTTTTATTCGAAAAAAGTCATAAATTGAAAAAAATGATGCGTGAAAGTTAAGTCACCTGGAAAAAAAAAAAAGACAAATAAGTCTTCAAGAATTCAGGAGGCGTATCACCCACGCAACCGCTTTATCTCTCAACGGCTATATTTAAATCCCTGCTTTTCACATCCTGCTGGGAAAAGCTTGTTTCTCTTCTCTGGAAATTTGCGGTGATTGGCTTCTTGAATGAGGAATTTTTCAACGAATGAATTCTTGCTTGACAGTGCGGGAAACAGAAGCAAGCTTCCCCTGTTGCTGAAAAGTTCAACTCGCCTCGTTGGATGACCCACCGACATACATTGTTCGTTCAGCCATTCATTCTTTTTTGACTGGTTTGTGGGGTTTCTCCGCTTTCTTCAATCGCAGATCTTCAGCAGTTGATCATCGCCTTTGGGTCTGTGTTCTGCTATACTAGTGGTATAGCAACAAGGGATTGCGTTCGGTTCCGGCAACAAGATCTCCTGCTAGTGAATTCTTGGTCCGCAAGGTCTCAAATCGTTAGCTCTTTCGTTATTCTTTGATTTTTCCTCCCTTCTCTTTCGATATCATTTAGCAGAACCCATCTTATAGTTTTCATTTGCTTCATTGGATTCTGATCGGCAATGATTTTTGATGCTTGTATTGGAATTTATCGTAGTCGGTGGATATATTTCCCATTCAAAACATATATTTCTTGCTGATTTTCCCGTCAGTATTATTACGTTAAAGTTATCCAAACTATATAGCTGATTGAATTTCCTGGTGATTATTTTCTTCCCGAATTTTCTCCCTTGTTCATTATTGTGATGTCTAATCAAACTGTGAGAGTAATTCAGAGAGAGAGGGTAATCTCCAGCATAGTTCAAAACACTGATAGCAACATTGGCATTGCTCTCTTGGAATTTCTTGCTTTCTTGCGTCTTGAATTTTTCTTTGTCAAGGTAGTGAGGGAATGTTTTATTGACAAGCACTGATATGGTCTGGCCTTGTTCCTTCATTCTCTGATACATTATTCCTTGCGTACGTAGGATCCATATATGTCAGTGCACCACTATTTGCTTTGGTGGTCTTCTTTTACTCTCAACGATGTTGAAACAATTCAAATAGTGATCTTGGTAGTTTCCTAGTTATCTAGTTGATGGAATGGCATATAATATCATGTTTGTAGAAAACAGATACGAATAGGATGATTGCATTTGCATCAATGCCTGTTCACTTTTTCCTCTGCCAAAAGGGGTGCGCCATGCAGCCAATCTCTATTGCAAACTACTAATCTTAAAGAGAGTTAATAATGGTTGGCACAGGCAAGCTTGATGGGCTGCTTCTAACTCGCGGGTATTAGTACAAATGGGTACGACCCGTTTGTAACTCGGTAAAGTGGGCTGGGCTAATTAATTAGTATGGGCTAACCCATTTTCAAGACATGCAAAATCTTGTCTATTGTCATCCCCTCGCCATTTCTTCTCGTACTTGTTCAATTACCTGTTCCAGATGATCTAGCAGGGTCTGCATGGGGTTAGGCGGTGGTCTCTCATTACTTGCAGGGTTCCTACTGGCCGCCCCTCTTTTTAGATATAACCATCTTTTACTAATTTTCCTATAACTGATTATTTGTTAGTGAGGTGAGGAACTCAGTTGGCTTTCTTCCATTCATCGCGATATCGCGTTGTCCCTTTCTCTCTCACATCCGAAGACAGTGGTGACAAGGTGAGGAAGGAGAAGAAGTAATAAATCAGAAATGCCATCGCTACAGTGATTTCTTTTCTAGCAGCTCCTTTAATCCCCTTTTCTCCTTAAGGTTAGATGATTAAATTTAAAATAATAATAATAATGTAGTCTGGTAGAATGTTCCCCAACCTGGGAGACCAAGCCTCGTATTAAGCTGGGTTGGACCAGACCATGGTCAGCCTTACTTAGCACAAGCCTTTTTCTAGACTAGACCATTGGTTAGGCACTAACTCAATATTGGTCTAGTATATACATAGCCCTAGGTAAGACAATCTCTACTAAGGTCAAGCTCTTTATTAAGCTTTCCTTTATTAGCCTACCTAAGGGTACTTGCTTGCCACTTTGATTAGATGATCCTACACCTTGGGCCATGTCCTATAACACTTAGTAAGCACATAACACTTAGTAGGGCTGCACAAAGACCAAACTAAATAGATCGGGTTCAAGCTCAACCTGAGGTCTGGTATGAAATTACCTCGGGTTATATTTTGTTGCCCAAGGTGTGGCTAATCTAGGACAAACCTAAGGGTAGACCAAACCAAGTTTGGTCCTTTGGGTTCAAAACTGGTCTATTAGACCATTTTATAAAAATAAAAAAAAGTTAAATGCCTCGAATTATTAGATTGGTTTGGTCTAGGACAAACCCGTGGATAAACTAAACCGAGTTTGGTCGTTCGAGTTCAAGATTGGTCTATAAGACCATTGTGTAAAAACAAGAGAAAAAAGGTTAAATGCCTTGAGTGATCAAGCATTCCCTTTCTTTTACCCCATCTCTAGCTTCAATGGGTTGTTGAAATGTTGCTCCTTGCAACTAACTTCTTGATTTGAACTTTTTTAGCCGCCTTGGGTTAAATCAAAAATAAAACCAAATTATGCAGTAAAGCACAACTCGGGTCGAGTCTCTTGAGGAGCCTTTTATTAATTCCTAAGTTAACTAAGTGACAAAGAATAAAAAAGGGGGGGTTGAAAAAGGATTTTTCAATTAATAAAACTAATTATGAAAATAAGAAATAAATCTAAACTATTTTTTTTGTATTTTTAATAAAGAGAAAATGAAAAATGCAAATTTGGGTTTTAGAAAATCAGTGATGAGAATGCTCTTGAGGAATGAATCAATGACCATCCTAGCTTGTCTAATGATATGGGAGTAACTTAAGTGGTTAAGACTGGTTTATATAAGTTATTCCTTTTAAATTAATACTCAACTAGAACATTAATTACTTGTTAAATTCACTTCAAGCATAATTTCTATACAACCCGCATAAAAATCACACTAACAATGAATTAACAAAGGCATAAACATAAATATATGTATAAACCAAGTACTCAAACTTATAAATACCAATCCAAATCTCAGCAATTTCAATCCAAACCAAGAATTACAACTAGCAATTCTTAGCTTTAAACCAAATATAACAAACTTCAAACCAGAAATCATCAACAAAATAGTCTAAACTAAGGACTAGAATTAAATTCCCCTTTGTAGCTCTCAAACTCAAGCCATTGAAATCAATCCCGAAGAGCACAGCGAACTCAGCCTCTCATAGTCTTGAACCAAGCCACAACTCGTGCCAAAGATTTAGCAGCCATGGATGACGGTTAGGTTGGTGGCAATGATGTGTGGGACGTGGTTGATGGAAGAATATGAAAATGAATTTTGGAAGATTGAAATTGAAGTGTTGCGGCGGCGGTGTTTGTACGAACTTGAAGAATGAATTTTTGAAGGATATTGGCCGTGTGTGTGAGTGGAATTAATGTTGCGGCTTGGGTCTTGAATGGAGAGAAGGAGGATGCGTGCGGCGTGACTGTGTATATGGCTCTGTGCTCTTGCGTGCGGCTGTGAAGGACGTGAAGGGGTGTGAGTGAGTTCTCCTCTGATTGTGTGTTGCGGTGGTATATATAAAAAAGGGATTGAGGGAGGCGACCGCGTCATATTGCGTGAAGGAGGGGATCTATATCCAATATCA